AAATTATCATATGGATATAACACTGATATTTAAATTGGCATTAATACAAAATAATCTTTTGTTTTAGATCAAGATTTGCCGAACAATATGATCCACCAGGTGGCGATAAAGTCACTGCCGCAGGAGTGGCTCTGGTGCGAGACCTGGTGCGACGACAAGTCCAAGAAACAAGCTAAGACTATTGATTTGGTGAGATTTGTTATCTGTGGTCACTTGGAGTTATGAGAAACGTGACGTCGACAGTATATGTTTTTATTCAATTTGTGAACAGTGCAACAATCCGATGACGAAGGAGGCGAAGTTGTCGGCGGCGATGCGCATCGTGCCGGAGTGGCGCGAGTACGACGGCGAGGTGCGTGCGCTGCAGGCGCGCGTGCGCCGCGGACTGTACCAGCACACCGACACCGACCAGGAGCGACATCTGCACGACGCAGGTAACACTACATTCATACAATCGAATCGATCAAAATTAATTCGTGATTTAATCGATAATATTTGTGTCCGTTATTATACTTGTCTAGAAAGCGTTTTATGTTTCACTGTTATTTCGGATGTGAATTCGTTCGTCTCACTCTGGCAGTTGAATAAGATTTTTGTCTTTTCTTTCAGGTAAAGAACACGAGCATACAGAGTTATGATGTAATAATCGAATTAGAACTTTTAGTTATTCCAATTTTTGTTGTAAGGTTGTAAGATTGTGTATAAGATGTGTTACAAGATGTGTATGATCACTGTGAGAATTTATTGTAAAAGACTTTGAAGATTCCTTTTCTCTTTCCTTGTGTATATTTTCTTGTTGTGATTATTTTGATGCCATTTCCATAAACAGTGTTGATATTTGTCGTGTAAGATTAAGTGAAGTGATTCCTAGCAACTAAGCAATACCATACTCTTTTCAATATCGCATGGTGCAAACGACAAAAGCAAAGTGTTCACTTTTCTTTGTTTTTAATGTACTGGAATGTAAAAAATGTTTTGCTCTAATTTATAATTTTGTAAAAATTGCGAAACGCCCTCCGCATCGTGCTTTTGTGAGCATGAATTTATTTGTTTCTTTGAAAAATGTATTGTTATTGATTATGTTGAATATAGTTTGAATTCTCACATAAAAAATATATCTCCAATAAAATCTTAGTTGTAATTCGTTCACAGAGTACACATATTTCGAATAATTTGTATTTCACTTGTAATAGAAGCTGTGTTTTGCAAATAAAATACTTTTTTGTCAAACTAAGTTTTATTTATTCTCGTTTTCAATCCTACAATTCTACACAAAACTCACTATTTTACAATTTGAAACATACAGAAATAATGTAATCTTAACAAAGTTAAAGAACACCGTAGTTTTAAATAAGTACCGAGTTATGTACAATTAGGAGATGATCTAAACTAACAACATTAAATACTGCTTCTATTTTTAACATCTACTCATTTACATAAATTAAAAACTCAAGCTTACATTATATACAGACAGCAAGTCTTAGAGAAGATTGAAGTTTATTTAAGAACTATGTCTACAGTCTAACTCTACACACGTAACACATTATTGTCAAGATATATGTTTATCCTACAGTCGTCACGAGAATTGGCTTTCATCACTCTGTCTCTAAAATTAAACAATATAGCAAACATTAGATAGTGTAAGTACTGATGTCTTTGGTGGTATAATAAGCAGTCAATTACTTAAAAACTACGCCAAAACAATTTGTACCTCAGCCGCCGGCTTACAACGATATGACTAGTTAGTTGTGTTGTCATGTCTTTTTCTTTGGTTGAAATATTGTACGTATAATGGAATTCATCATGCAAGAATTTGCATACTGTTCTATGAAAGAACTGAAAAGAAAAAAAATGTATTCATTTTACGTAATTAATAAACCAAAGAGTTTAATTGTTAAATTTGGAATGTTCTTGTATTGTACAACAAATCCCGTGCACTTCTTTAAAGAAGATGCTTATGGGAAAAAGTGCAATGTCTTTTATGAAGGGTACATTGCAGTTGTAGGTCAGTTGCAGTAGTGTTCCTCGGTGGTGACGCGGCAGAGCTGGCAGTCGACGCGGCAGCACCAGTGGTAGCGGCAGCGG